GTTAAACTGTATAAAGAAAATAAGTTAAGAATTATCTACAAGATAACAGACGGTAAAAATAAAAGTATATGTAAAAAGTATTTGTAAAGAAATGTATGAAACAAAAAATTAAGCGCTAATTTTCCTACTCCGCCCTCGCCAATTTATTAATTTAATTGCAGTTGGTAATTGGGGAGTAATTTTCCTAGAAAATGCCGTGCGCCAATTACGGGTAGGTATTATGATTTATACAAAGTTTCACGAACAAAGGACGTTTTTTTCTGGAATAGTCCGAAACGCCGTAATTGCATAAAAATGTGGTTTTATGAATGATCGCATAGAGAAAGGGAGATGGCATGCGCGATTAAAATCGGTCTCATATATTGCAGATACGGATACGCCGGAAACCGCCAATGGGGGTGGTTAGCGAGGGGCGCCTCGGGGTGGCCAGAAAGAGGGCAAATATGGAATGGGACAATGTAAAAATTTTTAACACTGCGCATTGGTCTACGATAATCAAGTAACCCTTTCATTCAACCAATAAGCAGTCACGAGAAATTGCCAACCCCAGAGTCAATACTCCGGTGTAGTGTGCAACAAGTTCAGTTCAATGCCGCTTGTAGGGCAGCACTCTTACTCACTTTTATTTATTTAAATAATTTATTAACGCTCAGGCGGCGTGTTGGGTTGTGTTAATTTGTAGAGCAGTGATGAATTAAGTTTCCAAAGTGCAGGGTCCTTAATGGGAAGTAACCGTCATGGTGAGTAGCTTGCTGATGAGTTCTCGATTTTAAAAATGTGTGCATGAAGATGCCCGCAGCTCAGTTTCGTTCAAGTAGTAAAATGCAGCAGGCTGAAGATCAAGCTTTTGAGGACGACTCTCATCACGCAGAAGAGGGCGCCATCAATGGTGGCGGTGTGGAGGTCGGCGTCGCCGATACTGCGCCGCCAACGCCGCGTATGGACAAACAGGGGAACTCAATCAGTAACACGGTGGCGGGCGGAAAGAACGTTGCCAGTAAGATCGAGTCGGACGACGACGACTACGAGGAAGAGCGTGGACAATTACGCGTCAACAACTTGGCACCAAACGGCGGTGGTGGCGGATACTGGAGACAAGGAGCGGCCAGTAGGCCCTCCAGTCCTGGTGCCATCACCATGGCCGATAATGCTAGCGAGGTCTCTTCCATGATGCCACCGCCACGTCCTAAGAGTAGAGTCGAAATAGCCACCAGTCGTTACAGCAATCTGTCGTACTGGAGGGCGCTTAGAGTTCTATTCTACAAGAACGGCGACCCTTTCTTTCCCGGAATCGAGATTCGTTTCAAACCGGGAAGAGACATCGGCACTCTGGAAACTTTACTGGACAAGCTCTCCCTTCGCATGGATTTGCCACGTGGTGCCCGCTACATTTTCTCAATGGACGGAGATAGAAAATTTAGACTGGAGGAATTGGAAGACGGCGCCTCTTACGTCGTATCGTCCTATAAAACCTTTAAGGTAAGCTCTAGTTTGTAGCAGAATTGGACGAAGGGCTCGATTGTATCGGTAAATCTCAACAAAAAAAAATAGCGCAGTAGGTACGTGGGGAGAGATATGCCGTGATTGTGGTCAGTTCGGTGCGCCACGTGACCGCGAATTAAGATAAGGGTTGCGCCTGCACGCACCTGTTAAGACGTAAACATTGGGAAACGCTTACGGCGGACAAGCTTCGAAGGGCTCGCGTCCGAACGAAATCGGACACCCCTACTTTTTGTCCACTTGGTGGCTTGTACCGTTCGCGTGTAATTAAATCAAATCGATAGCGTCTAACGTTTTTTAAGGTGTCGCGTCAATGCTATTGCCTACATGAGTGTCGTGTTGCGAAAGTCCTACGTCTTTGCATTTTTCAGACAAAGAAACTGACGTTTCCTTTCAAGAACCAGCAACAAGTTTATCGGCGTTGTCATTCATCATTTAAAATCAAAACAACCCACAAAATGTGCTCATTAAAACTGTTCGCATTCACTTGCAAAATTTTCTGTTAGTTCTGGAAATGAAATCCCCTTTTCTCCAAATTTCATCAACACCATACTCCTTTAACAACATACACTTAATTAACCTGTTAACAGAAAATCAATTGATTGTTGTACCTCACTTCCGAAAGGCAGAAATGATTTCTTCTTTAGCGGCATTTTGAAAAATTTCCATTAATCAAGTGAATGCGTATATTTGGGGCAGATTGATATAAGTACGTGATTTTAAATTTCGAGTCAAAAATTAATTTCAAACTTCCATCAGAACAAGTGGAAGTGACCACCCTGTATATTATATATTACCCATGGCTTTGAATAATCCAGAAAAAAGACAAGTACTTGCAGCTTTTTGTAAAAAAAAAAAGTAAAAACAACGCTAAGTTTTTTGAATTTGGTATAATTGAATCACGGTGTCAAGATTTTTAATTGTTTGTCAATCGCCCATATTTCCTTCAAATCAAAAACGATTAGCAATTGAAGCTGCAACATTATCCGGCCGCCATATATTTATGTGTGTTGCCATGAGGAAATCAATTTTAGGGAGGCGCTTTGGATGTCATCAATGTAGAAAACACCTACAATTATGGCATAGGAAATGAGACACTATTGAATACTCTTTATATGGTATAATGGGGTGCTACGAAATGGAACCGAAACGCACCGGAATTTTTAGTATGAAAATCCAAACAGATTTGATTGGAAATCCCCTTTAATTCTGCACCGTTTTTAGTACAATACAAATTGTTTAAAAACACCAATTTCTGAACGCGAAAGAGTCGAATAAAAAGAAAACCACCCCATCAAATCGTAGTATTTGCAATTGAACCTTTCTCAACACGCACTCTCAATTTTACCTATTTCCAAAATAGCGAAAATAGTCGTGTTTATGCGTTTATCCGTTTTCCAAATCACGATGTGTCACAAATTCGATACTAGCGACCCCAAAATTAAAATTTTTGGAAAATAGACTGGTAGTCAAATTTGGACCGATATGCTAGTGTTGTTTTTTTAGGAGGTTCTTTAAAATTAACTGCAACGTTGCAAACTTAAAGACGGACACTTTTTAACGTATTTTCCACTATATTGCAGCCACTTTCCCTGCAAATCCCAGCCCTTTCACAGTTTTCAATTTATTTATATTCAGTATAATAAAATTGTCTTTAGAACAGGCCGATTTCTAGCCGGTTGTCGGTTCGATTTTAGGAACGGTCCCTAAAATTTTCGATCCTGTCAGAACCTTCAACCTCGCACCGGATCGACAAAAAAGATCTTTTCAGCCGAAATGAAACATTACCTTTAATAGTGTATCATTGAGCACAAATGGGGAATGTAGATGCACTACACACAAATTTTATGGAGTCAGAATGTTACTGTTATATGGTTGCGCATCTACAGAAAATATTTTTGATTGTACAGGGCGTCCCATTTTCACGATGTCATTAAATAACAGATTTTTTTCAAATAGAACAACCACTATTTCGCTATTCTATAGCTCTTTTGTGTTCTCTTCAATTTTTATACGGGGTATCCTGTACTTAAACTCCGTAGTTATGGGTTTTTCAATATTTTTTACAAAGTACCTACCTACCCATTAATTAATTACATGTTTAAACACCGGAGTAAGCTGTGATAATAAAAAACAAAAGAATGCCAGAAACACGAACTTATAAATTAAGATGGACTGCTAATGCTGAATTGACAAATGACACCTACATGGGGGCAGCCATGATGTGCACTCACTTGGCGCGAAATTCAAATCAACTAATAAAGAAGCATTAACCTCACGTTTTCTACATAAATTACTGTGACACATGTCATTTTCCAAGACTGCAATAGTCTCAAAACTTGAGCACTAGGAAAATTCCCCTAGAAAATAACTAAAACGTGCACATCATGGCCGCGCCCATGCTAGGGCCATTCTACCTCTATGCAACTGTTTGATCAGCAGTCCATCTTAATTTATAAGTGCGTGACCAGAAAGTAAACGAGTGTTACAAATGATTCATCAAATTGAGGCTTGCTTATGGGGAATTATTCCGAAAAAAAATTACTAAGATGGCAACGTTGACACAAGACCAAAAAGTAAATAGAAATTAACGAATTGCATCGAAACACGTAAAACTCTACAGGGTGTTCCATTTTAAAAAATTGAAAAATAGGACACCCTGTACATTAAAAAATAATTTCTGTAGATGCGGAACCATCAGTAGTTGACATTTGTAGAAAAGGTTTTTCTTATATTTGAAAAAGGAAAATTTGGGACCATTTCAGATTATGGTTCGGTTCAGAAGACCGGATCTTTAATTACTCTACACCAACTTCCTTTTCCAAAAATATTTTTTTTAAATTTATCTTCAGATGCTTCTAATAAAGGCAAACATATCGCACATAGTAAAAATCAGACGCGTGCATGCCAACTTTCTTATTTATGAAGATGTTTCTTTGAATTTTAAATATACAAGGTGTCTTAAACTGAATAGGATAACATGGCTATCTTTGTTGTTATTAAATTCGTTTCGTAGATAATTGGAAAAAAGTGATAATCGACATTTTTAAAAAATTCAAATATTTTAGTAACAAAGAGATATCGAAAAAAGTTTCAAATAAAAGTTGCAAGATGCGATGGGATAAATTCAATGGACGTTGGAAATTTTTTTTAAAATGGCTGTTTTCGAAATATTGACATCAACTTCCTTATTTTAAATGGATGCCATAATGGGTTTTTACGTCACTCGATAGAGAAAAACCAGTGGTGCTAAACACTTAGTATTTCATTTGGGAATTTATTTATTAAAAACTTTACCCCATTTGCGAGCAACGAATATTCAACACGTCTATACATTCATAAAATTTAATAGAATTTTATTCAAATTTGTTGAACACTTCAAGACGAAAAGCTTTTTGATGAAATCATAATGACAGAAACAGAAGAAATATGAATTTCACGCCTGAAACTTTGGTAGAATTCCAGTGTAACCGAAAGGGATCAGAAATTTCAAAATTTACATGGTACGCCCTCTATATGTTTTCAAATATTTAACCTCACATGTTGTGTAGGTACTTATTTGCCATTGGGTAAAAAACGTAGGTATATGTTAACATAATTGTAATAACCTTTTATTCAACCGTAGATCAGGAAAAACTGTGATTCTATTTGAAACAATTGACTAAACGGCATAACTTCAATTTGTTCAAAATCCTTGCTATTGGACAACAAAAATTTAATTGATTTTCCGGCCAACCTCCTATAAATTACCAAATAGACCGTCAGGCGTAATATTCTTTGCAGAATCAAAAAAATTTTAAATATACAGGGTGTCAAAATTAAAGCGGTGCGCCTAGTTTGGTTTACACACGGTAATATTTTTTTGTTTTATTACTCTTTTGTATCTTCTTAAAAGGTTTATCAACTTACTTATTTTTATTTATTAATGATTTCTTTTGCCGGTGTTAGTAGTATTGTATTAAACTAAAATCAAGCATACCCCATAAAATTATATACTTAAGTATGTTTTTTTTAGCGATTTTCGTGTAAGAGATGCTTCCTGCTTTTTCTCTTATAAAGGTAATCCATGTCTCTCCCATTTACAGTTATGCCCCCTCATTTCTGCACGCTTCTGTCCTCACATCTATTTTAGACTTCTTTTACTCTCTCTCTCTCTCTTTAAGCTCTCAACTCAAGACGCCTTCTTCAAGTCTTCTCCCTTCACGCGTGTTTCTGCCATACACTTACATCTTATATCTCGTCTATCACGTGGTTTTCATATGGCCACCGTTACAGTTTGATGCCTCTCCTGTACCCCACTTAGTGTATTTTCCACTCGCCTTCTTCTTATGTATTTGGTCAAACCTATTTCGCTTCCTCTTTACACCTTCTATTGATTGTTGATGTCTCTTAGATACTTCCTTTCTTCAGTCCTTCACATTTCCTTACAAAACGCCTCTCTTCACATTTTTTCCTTCGCTTCCATTTTTAGCGCATTTTTGCAAATTTATTTGTAAAAAGTAGCTTTTAATCTCACTTTGGCTGGCTGGCTGGCTGGCTGGCAGCAAATGTGGGCGCGTAGAAGAACCCTTGTAGAAAGGCAACGGGTGTACGTGTATCTACAGGACCGTGGAATTTGTCAACCTTAGGGACATGGCTACATGATGTGGGGTTGGCGACATCTGGGCGTCATCCTCGAGCGTAGTATACTAACGTGAAGGTTTTTCAGTTTTTTCCTATTTTCTACTACAGTTTTGGTCCGATTCTTTTGAAATTGGTGTCGTCGGAAAGATGTTGTAAACGCGCACAACTCCTGCGTGGCGGAATTTTGTTTCTTGTCATAGGGGCGAAATTAACGACCTTTTGCGAGGCGCGCGCGCGCGTCTTCGAGAAGTAGTCAACTTCGGGCGCCTTTTACCTTCCGTTGCGAACTCACGCGGTTTAACGTTTCGTAAATCTCGAATCGCTCTCTCTTTCTCGTGTCGCCAATAGAAGTGAAT